GCCTGGAAGTGAATCTGATCTGATTTAGGGAGGAGTAGAGAAGGTCAAAAGGAACAATAGTTGAACACGTGACTGGTTGAAATGTCCCATCTGGGGCTTGTCTCCTGAAGAGATAGGTGAGGTTTGGTAGAGGGGTTGCCAGCCAGCCAGCCAACCAGATGACTGTGGGTCCCCAAGATGAGCTGGGGGTCATCTTGTGTGTCTTTTCTCCTCAGGTGTGTCGAACTGTAGCTTATCACCTGTGTGGTCTTGTTATGTCTGAGGGGTTAGGAGGACATCGCGAGGGCCTGTCCACTTTTCTGTGAGTTGCAGGATTGAGTCTCCTGGCTAGAAGGGATGAGGAGGGTCCTGAGGAGAAGGAATTGTCCTAGATGAAGGAAACTCCAGTATTGAGGTTAGAATTTGTCTCAGATGTTGTACACAATGTTTGATCCTCTTCATATTCTAAATGTGGAGAAATCCTCCTTCTTACTGAGGTCTGAAGGGGTCTCCCCTGTGTAATCTCATAAGGGTTCAATTGCAGCCCACCTCTGGGGTCCACCTTTATGAGGAGAAGGACAGTAGGGAACACCTTTGCCCACCTTAGACCAGTTTCCTGACATATTTAAGCTAGAGTCGTTTTAAGGTGTGGCTCATCTTTTCTGTCCTCCTGGTGACTGAGGTCTTCAGGCAGCACATAGTCTCCAAAGAGCTCCTCAAGATTTCCTCAGCTGGTGCATTCCTTTGGAGACAAACGCAGGAACATAATTACTGTGAGTGGAGCCAGGTAAACTCTGCCTGGGGACACTGTCCACAGTCAGTCAGCCTCAAGGCACTTCTGAGGCCTTTCCTGTTCTTGTGGGACATGCCTGGACCCCATCATAGAGAGGGCCACTTACATCTCATAGTATTAATGTTTCCCCCAGTCTTGGGCATTTAAGTGAAGTTCATTGCCAATCTTCAAACGAACATAATATCAGGCCCCACCATATTGGTAGGTCTTCATTTTCATCACACAATTGGCATCTTTGGTCACCTCTTTTGTCCTCGGGAGCAATCCCAGTCCTCTGAGGAGTGATCTTGTAAATTCTGTAAACATATCCGGCCCACAATGACAGCCTTGGTGAAGACAATCCACTATGGCACACTCCAGGGTCCTGGTAATAAAACAAATCTGTGGGGACTCACCCTGCAAGTGGCAGGAAATTCCCAATTCCTGGAAACCCTGGTCTGGAGCTCTCTTTAGCATCTGCTCCCAAATATTCAGGGAATGTAGTTCGATCCATTCAGGACAGGGGGCAGGATGGTGGACTGGAGGCACCCAGCCCTTGCCTGCTTGTCCAGAGATGAAATCCAGACAGGTTTGTGACCATGGGAGGATGCTGAAGTTCAAAAAGGACAGGCACAGACCCGAGGAACCCTGAGGAGTGTGCTGGACTGTGAGAGAGAGCACCCAGCACC